TGTTGCTTCTGCTGCTTGGTGCTTGGGCTGTGTCAGGACTGAGTTGTTGGGCTCAGACAGCGCTAGTGAAAAAATCTTCTGATCGTTTGAAATTTTATATAGGTTTGAGTGAACTTTTTTTTTTTTTTTTTGTCACGGTTTGTCGATGTTGTTTTCATGCGAACAATGAGCGGGAACCTGGAAAGATGCAAAGACACGATGCCAAGCTAGACAGAGCACATGGCCAAAACAAGGAATATCCTCTTGAAGCTACCCCGTCCGGACTGATGTAAAAAAAGAATGTTCCCACGGTCGAAGGGTGTGAAAAAAGGATAATGATCAGGGCCCAAACCATCCATACTTCCTCCGTACACTTTTAACCCCTGAATAGATCGAGCGAACTTCTTCCAAGGTTTGTCCCCAGGGACAGGGGGCTCTTTTTTCTCTTCTTTTTCTCTTCTTTTTTTTTTTTTTTTTGCAACTCTGTCTGTCCCCTGTCTCAAACATGCCCTCCCCCCTCACCCACCCCATCCATGCTGCTTGTTTCAAAAAAGGCAGCATCTATAACTTTCCCTGCTCTGGACTAGTGAACATAATACAAGCATGTGTACAGAGTAATAAGTGTAAGTGGTGTACGAGTAGACTACCCCAACCCCACAAGCAATTTATCATATTCTTCTCCATCGCTGGATGGTTACTCCGTAGTTAGTCAGGCAAAGTGATCATGTCGATGATGGTCCGTCCCCCTCTCCCCTTTCTCTTTCTTCTCTATCCATCCCCATACTCCATTATTACACATAGAATAGCAAGTGTGCCAGCTCTGTCTAATCTATTATTTATTGGTTGGTTCCATGAACTTCTCATCAGTGTCAAATGCTTGCTCAGAGCGCCCAGGGCTCTGTCTACCCTAGACCTATCAATCTACCGCCACAGAGTCGAGATCAATTCACAGGACCTTCAACAACATTATATCTACCCTACCAAGCTTCTGTGTCTTTTTTATTTCAACTCTCACCATCTTTTGTCTTTCCTTCATACATACATACATACATACATACATACATACATACATACATACATACATACATACATACATACATACATACATACATACATACATACATACTTCAACTCCCTCCCTTCTCCAGCAACGAAACAGCCAACAACCACAGACGAGACGGGAGGGTATGGCACGGCATTACGCAGTAGCCGCGCTACTCGCTAGAACTACCACTTACGCTGTAGCGTAGCAGAACTAACCTAGCCACAGCCACAGCTAAGCCAAGTAGTCGGAGTATGTATAAGTACATAAGTAGGCTTGAACACCAATGAACAAAAAGAGGGGAAAGGGGGAACCAAATGTGCCAATAATAATCAGTGGGGCGGGGGAAGGGGAGGGGGGGGACTCATATGAACGGCGGGGCGTCTGGGGGAGCGACTCTGGATGGATGACGCCTAATTTGACGCTTGTACGCGGCCGATCTCCACTAACTAGTATGTGGCCGCTAGACCTAGTTCCATGGTGGGGCATCACATCGGGCAGCCCTGAGTCCTGATTGGGCTGGCGACTTATCACCTTATTTATGTCACGTGGATCTACTACGCTACCTAGGGCACAGCCCACAGGAAATTGTTCGGCCCGACTTTGATTCGGACTTCTCAACGAAGCGAGCTTTCTACAGTGGAGGACAACAGAATCGGTTTTTTAGGTTGACCAAGTTGGGGGAAATGATGTGCAGGTTGGAGCGCCGTTTGAGAAACGGGGGTCCCGAAGTCCATTAGCAGCGGTACTAGGTGGGCATGTCCGTGCGTACCAGGTTGATTATATGCTACCAGCTAGTATCTATCGATCGAGTGCAGCTCATCAGCCAGCACCGGCCCACGGTCATTTTAACATCTGCTTCTTGTCTCCCAAGGTCTTCCAGTCACTCGTCCTGACCGAAGAACGCCCCCCGATATCGCTCTCCCATCTCTTGTTCTGCCTTTGCCTTTGTCGTGCTTCCCAAGTATGTGTTTAGGGCATCCTAGGTGGTTGCATTTCGGGATCGAACGACGCCGCCTGGCTGAGTTGCGAGGTTGGGCACTCGGGTGGGGGGCAATTTGTTAAACATATCAAAGAAACGCTCATGTGGAAGAACATTTTTATCGCCGATACACTTGAGAATGGAAGAGAAGGTGTTGAAGTTGAAGTAGAATCTGTAAGAAAACACTACCAGAGAAGTAGTCAATGTCGCGTCTTCGGTGGGCTATCTGACGCACAAACTCTTGCCTTACCTGCTTTGTTGTTTTAGGACTCCCCGCTTATTTCAAGTTTGCCGGCCTCACGGGACTCGGCCGTCCCTAGGGCCACAACATGGTACCTAAATATGGGATAGTGATTGGCCACGGGAAGCACCAAGCCAACCACTCAGTCTCAACTTTACTATATGGCCCAGTTCTGTGGACCCATCCCCTTGTATACCCGTCTCCATATCCCGGAGGATACTGTCAATATATTCTCCTGCCCCAGAGAGGTGAAGAATATGAGCAATGGCGCAGTGTAGTGCAAGGAGCCGAGATGAAGGGGGGTCTATTGATTGATTATCTGTGAGATAGAGTGTGCAAGTGACAGGGATATCTTGTAAGATTCCTGGAGGAAGGAAAGTATCAATTTGATAGGTGTGCTCCTGGCCCGGAACAGGTTCAAAGAAAACTTTAAAGTTGCTGAAATGGGCATGGAGATCATGAGTAAGACTCATAACATTAAATGGCTGATCAATATCGATGCCATCAACTAGGTGTGAGACGTCACTGTCAAACATATGAAGAATCATGAGAGCAGCTTTCTTGGAATAATCCTAACCATGTCAATTAGCCAGTTAGTCAAAAGAAGAATTCTCTTTGACAAGATAGCTTACTAATTGGGAATCTGCATTTGTCTGTGTCAGGGGATGTGGAAGTATATGGGCCACTTCTAAAATCATAGATAACTGTCCCTGGAGTGGGTTCGCTTCATCATCTTGGGCATCACAGCCATATTCTGTCAGACGAACTATTGCTTCTTGCGGATCAAATTTGCGAGAGATCACGCAACGATGATGGTCACGGATGAGGCAAGAACCTCGAAGTACTGATATTCGGTCTGGTGTTCCAGTAAATTCACGTCTTCCTTGTACATTTTGAATTACTGAAAGGTGTGCAGGGGAGGGCTGTGGAGTGTGGTGGCTAGATGCTTTGACTATAAAAAGGTTAGCAGACACGACAGGGATTAATAATGGGACAGACGTGGCAGAAAGAAATTATCTATCATAAAGTCTGCAAAAGCGGCCAAGTTTGTGCCATCCTCATCATCGAAGTCGATATTGTTCTCTTCAGCGTCTACCTTCATAGATTGGAAGAAAGAACGTAGAAAGGTATCTCGCGATAACTCAGATCGCGAATATTCATATGTATAGCGAAGGAGTAAAGCGCGGGCTGTATCCATACCTTCTGCTGTTATCCACAGCACTGAAATGGTGAATAATATCGTAAAATCTGCGCTGAGCCCGGACGCGTTGACCCGGTGTGAAGGGTTGAGGAGGGGAAAAATTGATGATGCCCTCAATGGATGACTGATGGCGATGCGGGGGATGTACAGGGGCCATTGCTTTGTTGTATGTTACTGCAAGAAGAATCGCGAGAGGCTGCAAATATATAATAAGGAAGCGGCTCAGCTGGTTACCTAGCCTTCATCCTTGCTGAGTCATCCGTGTGATTAGTTATCTCTAACTACTTTTTTTTGGAAAGAAAGCAAAGCCAGACCTTGTGGTTAAGAAAGGGAAATGGAGAATTGGAATCCTCCCGATCAACATTATTATTATTGCGAGCTAGAAAAGAACCTTGGAAGGTTCTGAGAGGCCAATAATGATTTCGACATGCGAGTGCTGAGGCATGGGAAAGCAAAAAATACCGTCTGTAGAGAGAGAGAGAGTGTGTGTGTGTGTATGGATTGCATGTGTGCGTGCAGAGCGTGTGTTTGCGTCTCCAC